GGGGGGGGGGGAGGTCGTGGGTTGTACAAACAAGGCTATTTATCGTATAGTGCTACTTGAAAAATTTAGCTACAATTCAAATCATAAGCCCCTGTAAATACTTAAGCTTTATTTGAGAGTTATGACCATTTATGAAAAGATTGCGAATAATTCGCCGGATAGGTTTGTACAGCCAGTTACAGATGTACACATAAGCAATAAACACGTTTCTTATAAGACCCTGTTTACACTATACCGGATTCGCTGGTCACTACATTTTCTCTTGCCGTTACAGAGCAATGGCTAGTAGCAAATGCTTATTAGTTTGACAGAATTGGCATGTTTATTTGGGTCTCTGAGATTAAAAATCTTCACAGCAATCCGGTATAGTGTAAATGGAGCCTAATAAAAACGGAACCTTATTCGCACATAATTAACAATCTATATCCCACACGTAGCCGATGTTACGCCTAAAATATAAAAACAGTTTAATGTGTACCTGTCGTCCTGAATTTTCTCACGTTGACTTGCTTGGCTGATTTAATAGTGAAATACTCCTCTGGTCTTTGGCGTTTTGAGGGGGCGTCATCACTGGCGTGCTTTCGCTTGCTCTCTTTACCTATTTGGTTTTCTGGCGGTTCAGGCAACTGTTCGAGTTCCTCGCATAAACCATCATCATTGACCCAGTCTTCGTTGAACAGGCGACGTTGATCCTCGGTCCAATTATCCATGACGCCATCAACAACTCCAACCGGATTCTCCCGTTCAATATCTTCGGCCATCGCGTTCGTCCAAAATATAATGCGCTGTTGAAGGACAGCTTCCTTCTGCTCATCAGTGAGCATAAATGACTCCTATAGAAAATCGAGTTCACTTTCAGCTTCACAAGCTTTGATCAGATCCAACATATTAATCTTGAAATATCATAAACATGTTAATCTAAAACTATCGTAAACATATATTCAAAAACAACTTAATCCAGCCTATGACTCTGAAAATATCGTAAACATATGTTCAAAACGCTACGTTTACTTACCGAATGAGCCATTTTAAAAACAATCCAACGCAATCCAAAAGCAGAGAACACTTGATACCAGAGAAAACCAGAGAAAACCAGAGAAAACCAGAGAAAACCAGAGAAAACCAGAGGCCACTCGCCAAAATGCAACAGTGAGAAATGAAACGTGTGTTCGAAACACGATATTTATAATCTCTGATAATTTGTTTGGTCGCGTTACTGTGTTGTGCCGCTAAATGATCTCATTACTGTAATGCTAATTGATCACCTGCCACATTTGGCCCAGGGCTGCCCGCGTTAATTGGTCGCGCTACCTGTTACATTCGGCAAGGTTGGCCCAGGGCTGCCCGCGTTAATTGGTCGCGCTACCTGTCACATTCGGCCCAGGCCTGCCCACGTTAATTGGTCGCGCTACCTGGCGTCATAAATTTTGCATACTAATTACTTTCGGAGCAACGTGACGTCATTGGCGGCATCCCTTTGTACTCCAGAGGGGGGGGGGAGCTTTACTACTGACGAGTGCTATTTGACGTCTTTGAAAAACTCACGAGTGCATGTTTATCCAAATTTCACGAGAAACCATGCTATTACTTACTAATAATTTACATAAAAATTTTCGAGACAATTGTAGTTTTAACTTAGGTTTATAGCGAACATTCCACTGGCAAAGTTTTCCTGGCTT